CTGTGAACAGATGTTATGAAAAATGCGTCTTTCGAAGCGTTAGAGTAGGATCTGCAGAATACATCTGATACTAGGAAATGCTGACATTATCAATAATTTTAAGGTGTCTTGTCTCTCTCATCCTCCCGTTACACTAGCCATAATGCCAGGTTAGCTGGAATAAAAAAATGATGAGAGGGGAAGTTACAGTATCGTGCCTTGACTGGGTGTAGGTTACTGTTCAGCGTACCGGACTGTGGATCCGAAAGTCCATGGTTTGCGCTCTCCAATTTGTGGCCGTGGCTGCATTTTTCCGAGCAGCATCTATTGGTCCTATTGCTTTTTCGAAGTTATTATTTGTATTGTTATATTTCACAGTATATCTTATGGTTACGAGTTAAATTCACTTTTTCTTCAGACTTTTTCTTCAGACTTTTTCTTCTTTGCATTCTATCGCGACTCAGAAAAGAACATAACTCGATCGTTACGTTCAAAGCTTAGTGAAAAATATTATTGGTGTTTAAAACTAATTTCGTTAATTAAAGAAGCCAACATTCGCGGGCTGATGCGACATGTCTCCGCCACGCTATCCCAACATGGCCAATTTTGACACCATAAAACTCGTGAAAAACAGAGACAAATTGAAAACTGTTTGTATCATTGCTTAGGATCTGCAAGAAGGTATCTTTGTACCAAATCCCATATAAGTTGATTGACATACACATGAATAGTTCACGAAAATCCCTAGTTGTGCTTTCCTCACTATATCTCTGTTTGGAACCTGTAAAAAAGTGTCTTTGTAACAAATTATATATAAGTTGGCCAAAATACGGCGGAGTAATTGTCAAAAGATCCTAAAATTATGCTTTTTTGTGGCATTTTCACCACCTAATAATGTCCCACCAAATGCAGATGGAGTCCAGGTTTTGGGGCTGGAAGTGGTTTTGTCTAGGACGGAGCCATTGTATTTGGTATTTAACATTCGCATAGAGAATCCATTTTTCATCACCGCTGACAATTCTGTCTAAAAATGGTTCACGGGCATTACGCGCTAGAAGAGACGAAGCAACATTCACACGTTGGAAACGATGATCATCGGAGAGTTCGTGAGGCACCCAAGCACCTTCTTTACGGGGTTTTCTTATATTCCTTAGATGTTTACGTATTGTTTCATGAAAGACATGCAATTTCAGGGCCATTTCACGAGTGTGTTGCCTTGGGTTAGACTCAACAAGCGTCTTCAGAGCATCAATATCAATTCCAACATGTCGGCCCCTGACATCACAGTTTTTGAGGTTAAAGTCACCTGAACGAAATTTGCTGAACCATCGTTAACACTTACGAACGTTCAAAACATTTTCATAAACTTTTTTGATATTCTTTGTGTCTACAGAGGCGTTGTTTCCCTTCTTGTATTCTTGTATTACATACCGAATGTGTATCTCGTCGTGTGCCATCACTATAAGGGATTAGAGTATACTACACTTTACACATTATATAGGCAACGCTAATGTGACGTTTAGGCGGTTAGTTTAACTATAATACATAATTTTTCCATTTCTTGGGGGGGGGGGTTAAAAAATGCGACATTGATTTCTTGACAACCTAATAGAAACCGGGTTTCGATACCCGTGGTGGGCAAAGCTCATATGGCCCTTTGTGTAGCTTTGTGCTTAATAACAAACAACAACAATCCTCATATGTTAATGAGCTACATGGGATTCGTAGAATTCCATCCTTCATCAGTAAACCTGGACAAGGGCAGTTTGTCTGCTAATGGCCC